CCTTTAAAGGAAAAGAAAACGCGTGATATCGAAACACGAGTTCCTCAAGTGGGTTGAGAATTTGGTAACTTCACTTTGCAAGGATATGATTGAATTTCCCCACCATCTTACTCGTCTTTGAAAGACATCTTCATCCTCATCGTCAAGCAGTACTTATTTTTACATAAATGCCACTAACTATTGTCGCCAAAATCCAGTGAAGGAAACTGCACCCGAACTTTACATGAAAACAATTATAGTTTAATCGAGGGAGCAGAATGTGACATGCACAAGGAGTTGAAAATAAATATCCATGTGATCCCTTTTAGGGTTTTCTTCTTCCTTATGCGAATTAGGTTAAAAACGAACATACCCAATGAAACACCGTACCAGGGAGATGCATGGTGCATCCTCCCTCATGAAGCCGACCATAAGAGGCCGTGGCTGAGGCCGATAATTTTACTTGTAGCTTGAATATCAAATTATAATTTTTTTTTTTTAGAAGTTCCTTATATTCAAATTTATTAAAAAAAAAAAAAAAAATCAATATGCATTCAAGTCTGTATCAATCCCACGTGGACCCCAAGTTGTCTCATCACAATTATTATTTCTAAAAATCACGTTGACTTTTAATTCACAATAATTTATGAAATTCATTATTTTTTTTGAAAAAATTATTAAAAAATAATAATGCAACTATCAATATTTTTGCTTTGCCAAGACCGACCAATTTATTTTACTTTACTTAACGTAGCGTTTGCTTTATTTAATTGTCATAATAAATTATAAACTATGACCCAATTAATTTAAGAAGAATTTTCATTATTATAGCATAAAATAAATTTGCATTTTAAATATTATATAGTTTACGTTGATTATATTATACGTGCTTTAATTTTAAAACTATATAGCATTAAATAATAGACATTTGTCATTTTTTATCCTTTTAATAGAATTCTACGTTTTACAATTTAGAATGTAAATCTAAAATTATAAAAAGATTGTTTTTTAAATTTTCACTATGAATATCAATTTGTTAGAGTTAATTTAAGTAGACGTTCCTTGAATTATGTTTAGGATTGCCACTAACTTGGGTCAAGCTCGGATCTTTGTTATGATCTTAAACTTGATCTTGAATGTCTCTATTTCTTACTCTTAGAGTTGTACTTCTCGAGTTGAATGCCCTTGGGTCAATCTATAACAATACGAAATTCAGAAACGGAAAACACGCGTTCCTGCAACTCAATTCACCTGTGGTCAGCCTACAACCTGCAACTGCGACTAGCAACCCATGCACGACCCACACCTCGACCCCGAAGGATATGTACATGCGACAACCTCTTGTTGTGTCACATGGCACGCCTGTAGCACTACACACCTTTGGCTCTAGTGGGCTTAAACGACTCGGTGGCTTCTGCGGCTCCGACTCGGCTTCTTGGCTCGATAACCCATTTTTGGTCCAAATCCCACCTTTCGACCCTCTCGAATTTGTTTTCGACCGTGATTAAGGTAATTGAGATCATTTAATATCGTATTTCACAATTTTTGGTTGGAGTGACTATTATTATTGTGAAATACTAACAAAAGTGACGAAGGATCCAATAGGAAACGAAACAACCAAATTCAGTTCCAATTCAAATGAAATATTAAATCAATCCAATCTTCTCAACCAAATTCTTTAAAATTTTGGATGGTTCATAGATTTTCCGAAAAATTGAAAGTTTAGTTCTAATTCTGATACGAAAAAAATGTTGTTCAAATTATAACAAGATGTAATTCATGCTACGTTAAAGAAGAATCGATCTCATTTATTCTTGGATGGTTATAAATTTTGGTAGGACAATAATTTAGTGTTATGGTATTTTATTAATATATTTTAAGATATTTTATTTACTTTGAGGTTACATTTACCTATCGACTAATTATGGTCATAAAATATGAAAATTACAACTCTGGTAAATGTTCTCATGAAAGGTAAAATGTTTTCATTTTGAAAATCTGTAAAATCATGTATATTGTTTTTGTAAAATAGACTTGAGAATCGTAGTAAAAAGAGATTTGTGCTTTCATCTGACTAAGGGTTAAAATTTATTTACAATTCTATATAGTTTAGATTGCATGTTTAGAATCATTCAAGATTGACATAATCAATATTATTTATGGAGTGATTCGAATCTGAAAGAAATTTTATTGTCTTGGTATATTTGATAAATAAGGTAATCTGAATCTTACTTTCCCTGGGGAGCCGTCCTTTATTGTTTTGAGATTATTGGATATTTAGATTCAAAAATATTATTTTTCAATAAGGTGTCGGATAAAATTAACAAGACTTGTACGTTAAAGATGGTAAGTTCACATAATAGTAAAAGAAATCAAAGATGATATCTTATTTTGTAATTGAATTTATTTTCAATTAAAATTATGCTTGTCATCACCAACGGTGTTCGTGGGTTGAGTTGAATCACGTTTGGACATTTTTTAAGCCCAATCTACTTGCTCGGGTTAAATTTTTTTATTAAATAATGAACCCAACCCCAACTATAAGTTTATTTATTCAAAATTTTATTTTTAATAAAAATAAAATATTAACTATTTATTTTCAAACATTTAAATTAAGATTTACCACTCAACTTCCATATATATTTTAAAGAGTGGTCTTACTTTAAATAATAAAAAAATTAAATTAAATAAAAGTAAATATAAATGCGTGGTAAAAAATCTTTTTAATAACAAAATTAACAATAATTTTAATAAAGAACCAATTCAATTTATAAAAAATTTAGGTTGATTAAGGTTTTCGAGCATCAAATTTTTAATCATCGACTAAGATGAATGACAAGAACATGTTTTTTTTTCTTTATTTTTTAACCAAACCCACAAGAGAATTAAATGAATTTTGAGAATATTAAGCTAAACATGGGAATTTTCAAACAAATGCATTGTTTCAAATGGAATAAAAAACGTGGTTACTAGGAAGGTTGCTTACATTAATATATGCTTCCCTATGAGAATATTCCTTTTTTTTTTAAATTTTTAAAATCGTATTGGTTTCTCCAAAAATATTGTATTGGTTTCTATATTTTTCAAACAAATTTAAACCGGAATAAAAATTGTCTATTTCATAATATTTAGCAAGTGAATCTATTGTTGGGTCGAGAAATACAAACAGATGTAATATTCACATGTATAATGGATGTGAAATAATTATGTACATTGGGGTCACACAAATGCACATAGACCTACTAATTGAGTACTGACTTCTACTTTTTAAGTAGGGTTTATAATGCATAGCATTTCTTTATATATAGTCCACACATATGCAGATGAATATTATCATGAGTGTACGTTAACCTATCCTCATTAGATATGGCTGCTAGGATTCGAGCCTAGGTCTCCACGGCCACAGCGTGGAATTCTCACCACTAAACTACAGCCACATGATATATTATAAAAAGTATTTTACTCTAGAATTTTTCTAATTAATTTTGATGGGTAATGTTACTATGTTGAGATCATTGGCGTCAGGTTCATATTTCAAATACAGGTGCAAATCTTGATCATGAAACGTTGCACTCAATTTAATTTATTTAAATGTAGCAAGGACAAATTTCAAGCCATCTAAAGTAAAAAGAAATTATAACGATGGCTAAAACAATCTCAAAATGAATATTCATGTCTCAGTACATTTCTGAACGGTTGGTTTGATCCTCATTTCCAATGGGTACTTGTATATTTCAAATGGATTTTAAATGAGTGTCAATATATTATTAATATATCACTGTTATACATGAAGGTTGATATAGTATATACTACTTATACACTAATGATTTACTTAAAATCATTAATTTTCAATATGCCATGATGATTAAAACGTGAATGTTATATTTTAATCTATTTTAATCAACTAACAAAGATTGTAATTAAAAAAATAAAATGCATAAGGTAAAATAATTGTGGTTTCAACCAAGCTCCAAACCTCAGCCTTGGCGGCCCACCTACCTGAACTAAGCTTAGAATCAAACCTATAGCATGAGGTGACCATTGTCACAATCGCACTCTTAATGGCAGCGGACTTGCGATTGTCCGGCACTCACTTTCCAACGACAAGTGAGTGAAGTCAATTCGTTGTTACGTCGCATACGGCCAAGCGACATATGCTCGAGCCTCTGGCCTCGGTTTAAGAAGAAGGTTTTCGAAAACGAGGGCAAAGAGAGATCTTCGAAAGAGAGATTTTGAAAGAGACGTTATATAAGCAAGTAAGAGAGTAACAACAACGGCTCATAGTATATAACTTTTGGTAGGGAGAAGTTAACAACTAGTCATATCCCCCTATAGTACATTCCGAGGCATTTCATGTCTGGCAGACCTAGACATGATTTTTTCGAAACGTCATACTTCTTAGAAATACAAAAGTAAAACACTAGAACATGGAAAGACATAAAGAGTTTGGCTTGTCATGGGCATGCGGCCATGGGCAACACGCCTTGGATGAGCATGACCGTGACATCTCCCCCACCTAGTTGGTTGACGTCTCTGTCAACCGACTACTTTCAAACCTGGCGATGTGGGAGGCGGTGGAGTCCAGATCTTCGGCGCGTTCCCAGCTGGTTTCCTCCGTAGGGAGATTCTTCCATTTGACAAGGAATTTGCGAATCTTCCGTACAGGTCTTCCTATCTTCCTAACTTTGTCAGCTAGGATCTCCTCTATTTCTTTGGTGTCTCTTTGTTTCAGATCGATTCTCGGTCTAGTGATTACATTTCGCTGGTCGTCGTCTGGGCCAGGGTGATAGGGCTTCAGGTTGCTCACATGAATTACTGGGTGGATTTTCATCCATGTGGGTAGCGCAACTCTGTAGGAAGTAGCCCCAATCTTTTTAAGGACTTCAATCAGGCCTTCATATTTTCGAACTAGTCTCTGGTCCTTTCGGCTGCGGAATTTGATATGTTCTTGTAACGCCCCTAATTTTCTCCACCCTAATTAGCGACGTTACCTTATACTCGTCAAATCAACAGGACAAGAGTTCACATGGAACAGTCTCCATAACAAAAATGCATTCATCAATTTAAGCAGTTCATACCTAGGAAAACAATTGCGACAACCTAGCCTAGAAGTAATCAACAGAGACTAAAAAAAACAATTCGCAAAACTAAGAACCCAAGAGAATCCAACAGGCGCTACGACCCAACAAACCCTCCTCAAGATTTCCATGGCCCTTCGCCTCATCCACCGTCACCCGTACATGGGAGCCTTGCCCTTTCCTGAAAAATATTGGTAGCACGTGGCTTGAGTATTATATAAAATACCCAGTAAGTCGCCCCACTGTTGGGGTTATGCATATATTCATACATTCGGATACAAGCAATCGCACACAATACATCCACATGTCGCACACGATACACATACATGACGCACGCAACACACATACATGTCACACCGAATACCCATACATGTCGCACATCGTTACCATACATGCCGCACAAAGTTAGAAGAGCGAAACTGAGAGAGAGGTTTGTCTTCCATTCCTTCCCGTGGCCTTAGGCCCTTGCGGGTCCGGGCGGGGGTGGATGCATGGTAATTTCCCACACATGGCCCACGTGTGTGACCGTGGGCCCACCAGGCGAGCTCGCAAGCGAACTCCCTGGGCCTGGCTTGGTCGGGTATGTATGACATACAGTACCGGACGCCACGGACAAAGGAGGGCCTGCATGATATCGTGGCGAACACAATATCGAATATACGCATCCATACCATTAGTAGCATAACGGGGGAGTGCCCCAAGTACATAACCATAGCGTGCATGAGGTTCTTAAGGTTTACCCCCATGGCATTACACCTATGACGCTCCATCCCCTCGCCGCATTACATAGCATAACCGGGTTCACAGTAGGCAAGCATAACATAGCATAACCGGGTCCACATTGAGCAAGCATATCCTAGCATACTAGTCATCTTATTCATGGCATGTGGGGTTCTCATTACAATCATGACATGTCAATCAAGCTCATCATANAATATTGGTAGCACGTGGCTTGAGTATTATATAAAATACCCAGTAAGTCGCCCCACTGTTGGGGTTATGCATATATTCATACATTCGGATACAAGCAATCGCACACAATACATCCACATGTCGCACACGATACACATACATGACGCACGCAACACACATACATGTCACACCGAATACCCATACATGTCGCACATCGTTACCATACATGCCGCACAAAGTTAGAAGAGCGAAACTGAGAGAGAGGTTTGTCTTCCATTCCTTCCCGTGGCCTTAGGCCCTTGCGGGTCCGGGCGGGGGTGGATGCATGGTAATTTCCCACACATGGCCCACGTGTGTGACCGTGGGCCCACCAGGCGAGCTCGCAAGCGAACTCCCTGGGCCTGGCTTGGTCGGGTATGTATGACATACAGTACCGGACGCCACGGACAAAGGAGGGCCTGCATGATATCGTGGCGAACACAATATCGAATATACGCATCCATACCATTAGTAGCATAACGGGGGAGTGCCCCAAGTACATAACCATAGCGTGCATGAATACGCATCCATACCATTAGTAGCATAACGGGGGAGTGCCCCAAGTACATAACCATAGCGTGCATGAGGTTCTTAAGGTTTACCCCGTAGCATAACGGGGGAGTGCCCCAAGTACATAACCATAGCGTGCATGAGGTTCTTAAGGTTTACCCCCATGGCATTACACCTATGACGCTCCATCCCCTCGCCGCATTACATAGCATAACCGGGTTCACAGTAGGCAAGCATAACATAGCATAACCGGGTCCACATTGAGCAAGCATATCCTAGCATACTAGTCATCTTATTCATGGCATGTGGGGTTCTCATTACAATCATGACATGTCAATCAAGCTCATCATACATACAGGACGACAAAACGCGTCACAACATCATATTCATAAACATGGCATACATAGCAATTCACTGCAAGAATCACATACATAAACAAAGCATGCATATAGCATTTCACGGCAAGAAACATCTAACCTAGCATATAGTAACAACATATGGTGCATGCAAGGCCACAGGGCACGCACCAACATACATACATAACTAACGCCAACAGTAAGGTTACTTACCTCCTTGGCCTTGACCGAAGCCGCCCACAACGCTAACTCCAGCGCCTAACTACCTCCTATAAGACAACATGATACACTTAGAGCGCCTTCACAACTATCCCTCGTGTCTAGCTACCAAGTACGTCCCTATCGCAAGTTATTTGTCAAACATGGAGTTATACTGACCTCAAATGGTTGAAACGAGGGCGGAAATGGCTTCGGAAGGGTCGAAAACCTAGGAATCGGTATACTATTCGGATGTCGAGCCGCCAAGCCGCACTTAGCCGAGTCGGAGGTTCGCGAAGCCGCCGGTGGAGCAGAAACCGATGGCTGTGACGAACACCGCCGGCGCAGGGTTTCTGGAGCGCCTCCGGTTTGGCCACAAAGGGGACGAGGTTCTGGGGTGGTGTCCGAACGCGGGCTGCACGCTGGCTGAGACGTCTCGCCGAATGCCGGGGGTTGACCCACGCCTGCGCTGCGTCTTCCTCGTCCAAAAGTCCCGACGGTCCGACTCGCAGGGCTTGGCTATTGTCGCCGATGGAGCGTCGTCGCTCATCCGTTCTCCGGTGGCGCGTCGGCTTCCTCCTGCTTCAAACCACACTAGCGCTCCCTTCTCCCTAAAGGAGGCGGCCACTCCTAGGGTTTACGGGAGCCTGAGTGGATCCCGCCGAAATCTCGTGATTTTCGGCGGGGGCCCCCCTTTTTTTTTTTCTCTCTCCTCTCTCCTCAGAAGGTGTACCGTTACAGTTCTGGTCTCAACTTGATGAGGACTTGGTCTCCTGCTTGGAATTGGAGGGGGCGAGGCCTCTTGTCAGCTCACTTCTTCATATGCTTGGAAGCTTTCTCCAAATATGCCCGGGCTATGTCTCTTGTCTGCTTCCATTCTCTAGTGAAATTTTGAGCTTGAGGGTTTTTTCCTGCAATAGGATGATCAATAATATAGGACAAAGCCGGTTGTCGTCCACTTACAATTTTCAAGGGGCTCTTTCTCGTAGACAAACTCGTCTGACAATTGAAATAGAATTGCGTGACATCTAGCAGTTGTATCCAGTTCTTTTGGTGAGCGTGGACGAAGCGACGTAAGTATTCTTCGAGCAAGCAGTTGAACCGTTCCGTCTGTCCATCGATTTGAGGATGATAGCTCAAGGAGATGTTTAAAGTCATTCCCAAGAAGGCGAATAACTCGGTCTAGAATGTGCCAATGAATCTACCATCCCTTATCGCTGATGATGCTCGATGGAATGCCCCATAACTTTAGAATGTGTTTGAAAAATAGTTGAGTTGTTAGTTCAGCTAAGCATAATTTGGGGGTAGGAACGAACGTCGCGTATTTCGAGAATCGGTCTACGACAACTAAGAAGGCGTCTCATTTCCCGACTTTTGGGTGGTGTGTTATAAAGTCTAGAGACACACTTTTCCAAGGTCTTGTTGGCACGGGTAGAGGTTCCAAGAGTCCCGAGACTTTGGCTTTCTCGACTTTGTCCTGTTGGCAAATGAGGCACGTCTTGGTGTACTAGATGATGTCGTCTCGCATATTTAGCCAGAAGTACCCCTTTTCTATTTGATAAGATAAGGAATCAACTACAAGGGGAATAAAATTTGGATTACCTTGTGATCGAACATCTCAAGCCAAGAACAGTTTGTTTAAGATTCGAATCACTCCAGAAGCAAGATCGATCATGTCTAGCTTCAATGATTCTTTTTGATCAAATATCTCAAACACTTGTTTGAGATTCGAATCACTCCACAAGCAAAATTGATCATGTCGAGCTTGAATAATTCTACATGGAATCTAAACTACATAGAATTGCAAAGAAACTTAGCAATTGGCTAACGAAAAGCACAAATGCTTCTTTTAATATATTTTCCAAGTCTACCTTACAAATACAACATACATGTCTTTATATAGCCTCAAAATAAAACTATTAAAGGCATTCCAAAAATTGTAACCTTCACACTTTATGGCCATAATTAGCCATTATGTAAATGTAACCGAAATTAAATAAAAAGTCTTAAAATACAATAACTCTAAATTATAACCCACCCAAAATTTATAACATGAAACTTTATTCTTCTTCAATGTTATTATAACCCACCCAAAATTAATAACATGAAACTTTATTCTTCTTCAATGTTGCATGAATTGAAATATCTTTTGATAATTTCAACAATATTTTCTTCACATCTTCATTGAAGCATATGTTATGATTGATGTCTCTTGGTTCATATCATTCTCCACTTCTTCAAGAGGATTCGTCATCGAATCTATTTGTGAAACTTTGCTGCAAAAAATAAGTTATGAAAATACGAAGGACCTCCCAACACTCTCTCACGTGTATACACTCAAGGAATTTTAGGCCACTCTGTTTGCACTCATTTACACAAATGAAGCTCTCATTCTCACCTCTCAAAATTTTAAATAGAGCAAAGATTGAATTTTGAACTTTGGGTCGATTAAAAACTAAAAAGATGAAAATAAATAAAAATCAAATTGAGAAGAAACGCAAAGGAAACATATATCCGATCTTGAGCCTGAAGCTCTGATACCAAATGATAAGATAAGGAATCAATACAAGGGGAATAAGATTCGGATTACCTTGTTGATCGAATATCTCAAGCCAAGAACACTTTGTTTGAGATTCGAATCACTCCAGAAGCAAGATCGATCATGTCTAGCTTCAATGATTCTTGTTGATCAAATATCTCAAGACAAGAACACTTGTTTGAGATTCGAATCACTCCACAAGCAAGATTGATCATGTCGAGCTTGAATGATTCTACATGCAACCTAAACTACATAGAGTTGCAAAGAAACTTAGCCATTGGCTAAAGAAAAGCACAAATGCTTCTTTTGATATATCTTCTAAGTCTTATTACAAATACAACATAGATGGCTTTATATAGCCTCAAAATGAAACTATTAAAGGCATTCCAAAAATTGTAACCTTCACACTTTATGGCCATAATTAGCCATTATGTAAATGTAACCGAAATTAAATAAAAAGTCTTAAAATACAATAACTCTAAATTATAACCCACCCAAAATTTACAACAATCAAACTTTATTCTTCTTCAATGTAGCATGAATTGAAATATCTTTTGATAATTTCAACAATATTTTCTTCACATCTTCATTGAAGCATATGTTATGATTGATGTCTCTTGGTTCATATCATTCTCCACTTCTTCAAGAGGATTCGTCATCGAATCTATTTGTGAAACTTTGCTGCAAAAAATAAGTTATGAAAATACGAAGGACCTCCCAACACTCTCTCACGAGTATACACTCAAGGAATTTTAGGCCACTCTTTTTACACACGTTTACACAAATAAAGCTCTCATTCTCACCTCTCAAAATTGTAGCTTCGTTGGATCTTAGACTAGATTTTTCTTTGCCAACTGAGTATAACTCATGTTGAATCTAAGCTTTTAGCCACACATGCCATTCATGCATACATGTACAATCATTTGCAACTCCAGACCAGATAGCGGGTGGTGTATACCAACCGTGGAGCGTTCATGCAGTGTTCAATCGACACAAAATTTGGGAGCATCCATATTTCATATGCACCCAACCCTTATAAGAAACATAATTGTGGCTGCTAGAATTCGAGCCCAGGTCTCCACGGCCATAACCACGTTGATACGTTAGAAAAAAATGTTGTACTCTAAAAGCTTATGCTTCATTCTTAAACTGGAAAAGAAAATAGAGTCCAGAAATAAGTGTTACGCACCGTTCTTTTCACCCTTCCCTCACGGTACTTACTTAGTGTTTGAGGCCCTTATAAGAAACATAATTGTGGCTACTAGGATTTGAGCCCAGGTCTCCACGGCCACAACGTGGAATTCTCACCACTAAACTACAGCCACACATTGATATGTTGGAAAAACGTTTAAACTTGGAAAGAAAATAGAATCCAGAAATAGTTGTTATGCATCCAACCTGGGTTTTTATAAGAAACACATAATTGTGGCTGCTGGGATTTGAGCCCAGGTCTCCACGGCCACAACGTGGAATTCTCACCACTAAACTACAGCCACACATTGATATGTTGGAAAAAAGTGTTTGAACTTGGAAAGAAAATAAAGTCCACCTTACTTAGTGTTTAGGTTCCGGACCCTTATAAGAAACATAACTATGGCTGCTGGGATTCAAGCGGCTGCTGGGGTTCACAAGCCTATGTGGCTGCTGGGATTCAAGCCTAGGTTTCCACAGCCGAATTCTCACCCAAACTTACTTAGTGTTCGGGGCCCTTTCAAGAAAAACTTGTTGTTTAGGGCTTTTATAAGGACCATAATTGTGGCTATTAGGATTTGAGCCCCAGTCTCCACGGCCACACCACGAAACTCTCACCACTAAACTAGATCCACACATTGATATGTTAGAAAAAAGTGTTTTACTCTAAAATTTTTGTAGGCTTATGCTTTATTTTTAAACGAAATGAACTACTTGTTAATTTTGATGGACAATGTTGCAATGTTGAGACCATCTAAAAGTAATCGTTGACGTTTTTCGATAACACAGCTCGAAAGAACTTCTTGATGTCGGAGATCTCCTCCACCACATCGCCTAATGAATGAATGCTGCTGACAATCGTCGTCAACTTCATGACAAAGTTACACTCTTCAAGGTCTACACCGTTAATTTATTTAAATGTAGCAAAGACAAATTTCAAACTGTCCTATTTAGTGATTCTTGTATCTTTTGCTTTGCTCTCTCCAAAACACTTTAAGTAAATCCCTCCAAGTGTTACAAAGAGTTACATAGATCCAACCCAGTCTACTAAGGCCTTACAGGTAACTTGCTGGCTGGTAGGAGTAGACATGATTTTGGCGAATAGTCATACAGTCTCATAGGGTGTCCGTCTAGTGTTTAATCGATACCAAATTTAGCGAGGATTCATATTTCATATGAATAGAGTTAACTCTACAAGTTATCACCACTAAACTGCAGCCATATGATAGGTAAAAAAAAAAAAAAAAAAAAAAAAAAAAAAAAAAAAAAAAAAAAAAAAAAAAAAAAAAA